GAAGTGAAAAAGGTGTTGAGTATTGGTGATGGGAGGAGGAGGACGGGATGTACGGATTGGAATGAGAGGAGTTCGAGGAGTCACAGTGTTTTCCGGATCGTATGTTGCACTACCGCCTGATCTTCTTTCCTTCCTCGGAGCAATGCGCTGATGTGGTGGTTTTGGTGACGTAGGTTATCGAGTCGCGGTCGAAATCCAACACCTTGGAGGACGAGATGAACACCAGGAATAGGGGCAAGAACCAGGCGACCAGGATAAGCACGCTCGTACGTCGCGCTTTCAACGCTTTCTATCGCCTTTCCCTTGCGCGCGTGCTAAATACTGCTTGCGTGGTGTAGAGCTTGATTGATTTAGCGGGATCGGAAAAGGCGACCGCTAGTAAAGAGAGGAACGCAGAGGGGCGGTATATCAACCAGTCGTGCGTGGCGTTTCCCCCTTGTTTTACTCCGATGTGCGATATACTGATGCTGGGAGATTCGGCAGGTTGTTGACGCTCAAGAATGTTATTTCGAAACTTGCGGAGCAGAGCGCGAAGAAGACGACAGGACATATCCCTTACCGGGACTCGAAATTGTGCGTTCCTTCTACCACTGAACAGCCGCTTTATTATGCTTACTCGTCGTGCATTGTCGGCTTAGGACTCGACTCCTGCAACCATCGTTATCAGGTGACGCCAAGATTTCCGTCATCTGCACCATCAACCCTTCCCAATCCGCTATTGCCGAATCCCAATCCACATTGGCGTTCGCAGCGGGGATCAAGCGGGTAGTGTTGCATGCGAAACAAACCGAGGTGGTAGATCCTGCGGCGTTGATACAGCAGTATCAGACGGAAATTGCAGATCTCAGGGTGAGTCACTTCTTCCGTGTGTTTTCCGTCGTTGGATTTTTCGTACTGATGGTAGGGTGATTAAACTATCACAGGCTAAGCTGGCGGAGAAGGATGCCGAAATGTCACAGGCTTCGCAGGATGGTTACAAACGAATGACACTGAAGGAGGTACGTCGCCTGCCCATGTGTCCCTTCATTGACGGTGTTCTGACCTCATGTCATCTTTAAGCGCCAAGAACAAGAGAACCAAAGAAGCAGGTTGGATGAGCTCAGGCGTTTGATCTTGACTTCGAATAATGTGGATGACGAGGAGACTACAGAGGAGAATGCAAAGGTAGGCATGCACCACTAGTTGCGGTCGATAACGGTTTCTGACTATAACCCACGTCCGTGCGCAGACACGTCCACTCAGCCCGACAAAGGTTCGGATCCAGTATGAAGCTTCCTCATTCTCTGTAAGTCAAATTCCTTCGCCTTTTGCTTGCTGGATTACTGATCATTGTACGATTCACAGCTCCAAGAGGAACTCTGCGTCGCTCAGGCCAAAGTGAAAGAACAAGCTTTAGAGATTGCCGAGTTGAAGAAACAGCTCGAGCTGCGCCCGCAGAAGCCAGATGAAGAGGTCGCAAGGCTCAAGCTAGAAGTTGATCAACTGAACGAGATCATTAGTGAGTGCCAATTTTTCTCGGTATTACGCGCTCACTAGTAAGACTGATGCTCAACTGTTCTGCAGAGGACTATGAGAACAACATGGACGAGCCCAGCGTCAAGCTGAGGGAAGACGTCGAGGCAGAGTGGCTTCCGAAGGTACAGAAGCTGGAGGCCCGCGCCAAGGAACGAGAGACGTTCTACAAGAGCTTGTACAATTCCGTGCTCGAGTTGAAGAGTCAGAAGGCTCAACTGAAGGAGGTAAGTCCCGTGATAGACTCGAATCTATCAAACTACAAGGACGCTGACGGGATATGCCTCACCTACAGCGATGCCAAAAGCTGGAAAGTATCTGCCATGAATACATTGCCTTGCACGAGCCGTCCCAAAGCGAGTTCGACTACCGGTCGAATCGGGGCATGTCGACATCATCGACAGTCAGCTCTCCGGTCGCAAGTACCGTTTCGACGTTTTCCTCGAATCAAGACGACTCTCACTTGTCAGGCAACCCGTACGCGAGCCGCGTCACCAGTGTTTCAATGGCGCATCTCGGCAGCAAACTCGCCATGTCTAATGTCGGACGCAACGGAGGCGGACTGAGAAGCCTCAAAGAGGACTCGTCGTTTGATCTTGCAAAACAAGTTGCACTTGTAGAGAGCGACGAAGAGATATTTTAGAGTCGCTTTGGGTTTTAATTTCAACCATTAGCTGCTGCCTTTTGGTTTTGTCGCGAGTATAGAAGGATCGTGACAGTTTCGTGCATTCAAAGATATGTTCATCGAGTCTGCAACTGTTTATAAGTTCAAGTCATTCATGGTTGTAGCTAAATTGTTTCTGTACATGTCACCTATTTGCCTCTTCAAGATATCGTTCTCAGATGGACTGATCTGAAGAAGAGCTGCTTCGGATCGCTCTGTCCCCAGCTTATCATCTGTTCCGATCGCATCGGAAGATATGATTTACCGTAGCGAGAAAGGGATCCAGGCCTCCAATAATGCCGCATTCCAGGTACATCTCCAGGCAGACCGAGTAGTACGTTCTACCACAACATATCACAGGCGAGCAACAATTCGACTTTCCTGCGAAAACATTTCTGCGAGTCCGCCGCGAATAGTGTCGAGATGAGGTAAAGCGCTGGTGGTCCTACGATCTGGATAGAGAAACTGTAATCTGCGAAGGCCATGAATGCATTATATAAACCCAAGATGACAGGATACAACATATTATTTACATTTCAAGGGGTGCCTCCCGCTTGCATTCACAATCAGCTTGCAAGTCCCAAGACAGTGCCGACATTCAGAGACGGCACACCGATAGGTACAGGATGACTGTCGAGCACATCTTCACGCCAACGTCCCCTCGAACCGGCTGTTTCTCATTCCTTCCCATCGTGCGCCCGAGCTGTTCATGGACAACACAGCACACACATCTCTGAACATTGACCACCCACTGAGTACAACATACTGGTTGTTCAAACGGGCTAGTCGAGCTGTTATTGTGAGGATCACCGCGCTTGCCTTTCCGTCTTCTGTAGTTCCAGACGCATTTCTTCGACTTCACGGTCTCGGTCTGCCGATTCCGCACGTGGTGCTGTTGGCGCACGCTCTCGATCAGAACCGCCGCTCGGAGCAGGACTGGTATCCCTTATCTGCTCTTCTAGTCGTGAAGGCGGCTGTTGACTGAGCCGTTCCTGATCCTTTTGCAGCCTTTCCAACGACCGTTCATACTCGATTCTCAGACCAGATATTCTGCGTAATTCGGCTTCTTGTGCTTCCACTAGGTCATTTGCTCGACGAATCCTTGATTCCAAATCCTTCTTCAGATGCAAAGAGTCAACAAAAGCGTCATAGAGGAGGTGGAACGGCTCCATAAAGTGTTCCCTGTTGACGTCGATGAACCCGTTCGCGTATCCAGGCAGTTGTGTGGAGGCGCCGGTGCCGTTCGCAGAAGGGTAGCCTGATACTTGACGGGGTCGATACCTGGTGCCGGGAGGATATTCCCCTCGAACTGGACCGGCTGTCGGAGGACCATTGACAGCACTCATCTGAGCTAGTCGAGGAGGATAAACACCGGGTTGCGCAGGACCATATGCGGTCCCGGGAGGATAGGCTGGTGGTGATCTGGCTCGAGTGGAAGAACCAACGCCTGGCTGGGCGTTACCGCTGAGGCTTTTTCTTCGTTTGGACTCGTGCACGTCGTCCCGATGTTCGCCGTCGACATATCGAGGTGCAGCATAAACTTGTGGGTATCCTCCTAGATTGGCATGAGCAGTTTGTGGAAGATGGCGGGCTGATGGCGGTGCTTGAGAGGGTCGTTGGCCAGGATACACATGGCCACTTTCCACAAGAGCGGCAGATACCTCGTCCTCCATCAATTCGTCCTCGTCTTGTCCATCATCTGGATGTGCGGTAGTTCGCATATGCGAAGATTGGGCAGTCGGAGCTGGTTGTTGTGATTGTCGCGATTGTCCAACCGGTGCGGTCTAACAAGGTCAAAAGATATCAGTAAGCGGGAAGATTCTGATGAGACGTGCATTGCGCACCTTTAATCCATTCTGCCTAACAGATCCTTCGGACCCTGTCAAGACCCTCATGCCTTGAACTTTGCGCTTGACTGCTTCACTTCTTCGACTTCCAACGCTGTTCTTGTGCAGGTACATCATAGGAGGTATAACACCTGCCGACGGAGGCGGTCCAACACCTGGCGAATCCATCGTTAAAGGCGCGCGACCTTGCCGACGTTTTTGAATGAGCTCGCGTTGCTGGTCTTTGATTTGCTGAGCGTTTCGGAACTGCCGGGAGTGACCAACGTTTAGCATTCGTTCACGGTTGATCAGTCTTCCACGACTCACAGAGTCGAGAGTCGCTTTATCCGCATTGTGCATTGGAAAGCCAGATATCACCGGACTAACAGTGGCCGATGGAAGGCCCGTTTTCAGTCCTTCGGTGTGCGATGGAGTCCCTGCGGAGGAAGGCATGAGGCATGTTGACCCAAGGCAGTCACGAGCTGTTGTGGTTCCAAGAGAGTGCGAGATGTTGAAGTCCTCGGGATCAGCTGCAGGGCATCGCGTCGAAGTGCGAGTGCAGGTGGAGGACCGGGTTGCCCATTTGGGCGGGTGTTTTGCGTGCCCGAAACCGTTGGGGGAACCTTTTTCGAAAGCTTTCGCCCTTTTTCAATCACTTTCGGTTTTGAATTGTTCCCGTATTACCGGCTATTTTGAGGGGTTTTGGATCCGTCGCTAGCCACCCCCCCCCCCGACATATCATGTGCAAACCACCTCACGATACACGGCGTGCATGGCCGGCATGGTTGAATTGCGCACAGGCATGACCTGCAAGCATGCCAAAATGATGTCTGCCACGATCGTATTGAACAAAACAGCAAAATATAGCCCAGACTCGCGCTGCTCTCAACAAAACGCGCGAAATTTCACCGAAAGCTCTGCTGGACCCGCTCCTGGACTCCGAGAAGGCTCCCAATGACCGCAAAACGAGCAGAGTATAAAAGAGAAGCAAAAAGACATGCCTCTGCCCAGAATCGAACTGGGGTTGGCGGGTATAACTACGAGGTTGAACCTCGATAAGCTATGAATCCACAGTGATGACCGCTACACTACAGGGGCTGGACTTGACGGGAGGAGGATATTTAAATCCTGTCGCGTGTATTGATTTTGTCGTATTCATGCGCACGAAGCATATGAATTCACAGTGACAACCATCTACACTACACGGGCGGCAGATGTTCGTGAAAGCGTTTTTGATTCATATCGAGTTGTCTTTGCTCTCTAGTGTGCCGTCGAGCCATTTATCTCCAGCCTACGAACTCATTCGGGTACGCACACAGGGCACACAGCGATACATAGCGTTATAGGATGTCTTTTGAAGGCCAGAAGCTTCGTCAGCGACCCAGGTCAGATCCTGTCCTGGTGCGACCGAGTTGCCTGCCCTTGCCCTCGAAAGGTGCGGCATGCAAGCTTACTGCGTATTTCCGGTCGGCCAATTACGCGTCCCATCACACATACATAGCTATCCTGACCCACTAGTAGTTCATCGTCAATGGTCACGAAGCTAAACGCGCGCGTCGTGTGCATTCCCGATGGGCTCCAAATTTAACGACCGAGTGAGTCGCAATTATTGCCTCTGAGCCACTATGGTATATGACCTGGAGTATTACGCGAAGTCCACTATCGCCAAACCGAATGTTGGCTTCAGAAGTCAAGTCAGAACATGGCTTATATAAACGCAAATACTCTGGCTTAACAGGCCAAGTTTAATCAGGCGTTCCAAGCCATGTCATTTCTTTTAGACGACAGGGATGGCCAGTCGCAGGACAGTGGCTAGTCGAAGCTTGTTTGAACCTCATAGGCTTGATCCCATGGCACCACCGTACCCTATCTGTAGTTTGGTGTTCCACAAGACGAATCTGAGTGACCTGTCGCTTTTCTCGCTGAGATGAAATTCTTGAAAATGACAAGTCCAAAACTTTTCCCAAGGGCAAGAAAGGTAAACGCAAGCATAAGACTAGATAAACTCATCTTAACTCCCTACTCAGCGGGCGATGAGTGCACTGGTAACGATGTCGATAGTGTATCATAACAAATCTAACGCATCTTCCAGACGCAGACCGGGCGATGGGTTCGAGTCCGGGATAGGGGTATGGGCGATGGCTCATGGCTCAGCATCCTTTTTGTCTTTTTGAAAAGGAGGGGGGAGGAGGTTCTAGCTGTAGTTTGGCGTATAGAGTCAGCCCTCTATGTTCGAGTTTTGCCTATTAAGCCTTCGGGATTCGCCATGGTGACCAACACAACACTGCTGTAGAGTGCCACAGATATGCTGTCCACTCTTCCTCCGACCTGACACCCATCAGGGAATTTTGACGCAAGTAACAAGGATTGCAGCGCAGAGCGAGTGTTGTCAACAATGACCACATACGGGGAAACTTGCCAAAGCAGCCAAGCGCATATTGAGCGATGGTGTCCATTCAAACAGCCTCTCTCCGGTACCGTCGGAGGGAACCCACGAGCCACAATAGCTGTCGCCTAGCCTGATGCTCTCACATCGACGACCAAATCATGCCCTCATCTATCAAGGCATGTCTACTCTGTACGACACGAAAGCCGTCCTATGAGGGTGATGACTACAACTCGATTCTGAATCTTGCAGCCAAATCAAGCATGTACGGTACGAAGCGGCATGCCGCGTCAACTCTCATCGTCACTAGAGACTTCTACTACTGCGCCGTAGCCGTTTTGGCCGCTAGTCACACCATCATGCTCTATTCCATCACCGTTCAAAGGCAAGTGTATAACCTGAACAGCACATCCTTCACCCTGTGACCTGCGAAGGTGCGACATCACCCTATCGGACGCCTCCCCACCTGCATCCACCCCTTCTCGCCATTGAGGGTACCATTCATCCGTGCCTTCACTTTGTTTCGCAATGCCTTGATCGATCGACAGAGCAGGCCGATCAAGTTGGAGATGTCGTCTCACGTCGCTCAGCGATGCCGGCAGGGTCTGCTTGGCGATGTCTCGCTGCTGTCTCGCTTTGTTGACAATGGGCGTGCGGACAGCCTTTGCAGGTGATTGCATTAGTAATGCCTGGCGCGGTTCTGCGTCGTGATCGTTGCGCAACTGTATTTGGATGTTTTCTCGGCGCCCCGTGCCTGTAGTCTCGGTGGTAGCGATGTCGCCACAGACAGGCAGGCTGCTAGCCGTGCCGTTTCGAGCTTGTGGTGACGACATGGATGGTCGACCACTTGTGCTCTGGATGCCCCGATTTTGCACCGGCGTGACCTGCACATCACGCATACCGTTTGTAACATTCTGCAATCCTACGACTTGAGAGGCCGCCGCTTCTTGTCCATCCATCGTGATATGCGAGTCTCGTTCCTCGCCTACGTCCTGTAGCATAACCACCATGCCTGATGTCCCATTACTCTCAGCTTGATTCGATACTACACTATCGACGTCCATAGGTTGGTTCGCTGTCACCGGGGAGTCGTCCGCTTCCGAATCATCGACAACGTCCGGGGGTGACTCCGTAAAGTCAATTCGTGGTCTCTTGATGTTAGGTCTGTCTTTCGGAGCCGCAAAAGAGTCCGAGATATTGCGCTTGTGAGGGGATCTTCCGGGTGGTAGGCATTCTCGACAAGACGACGGCGACGGTACAAAACTATGAGTGTCGAGCGATTGAACATGCTCTTCATCCGATCCGTCCGAGGAACGTCCAGCCGCACAACCCACAGGATGGTGCTCTGAAAAATCGCTCGATTCCCGCGACTGTTGCATCTCATATGGAGAGAGCTCGTCAAGTGGTGGGTCTTGTAATGGCTGTGGTGCCGGAATCTTGTCGCCTGTCGAAACTTCAGGTCCCGCTCCATCTGCTTCGTTGATCTTCTTGTTTTCGGCGGGCTTGCCGTCCTTGCACGAACCCTCTGCGGTGTCACCCTTGTTCAAAGGTAAAGACATGATGAGTGACTTCCAATTCTCGCGTTGATTCGACATATCGTTGGCGTTCCACACATCCTTGTTCTTCTCCCTATCTTTATCCGTCTTCACCGTGCCCTTTTCGAAGATGTAATCGCGTAAAGAACCCTTGTCCGTCATGAGCTGTACAGCATAGTGCAATACGTAGACACCGCAATCAGCAAAGTTGTCTTGGCCGGGGACGCGGATCGCTTTGTAGGCTGCCGGGAAATGGAGATCCCAGTTTGATTCTTCGAGGGAAGTCTTCTCCTTTGCTTTATCCAGCGCTTCGTAGACAAGCCATTTGTTCAGCACTTTGGCGACGGGCTGATGGCTACCTCCGAGCGAGTCAAAGGTCATGATAACCGGTTCGTCTTCTTCGAATTCGGTTTTGGGAGGTTTCGGCACCGGAGGGGCGATCGGTCCTCTGCGTGTGGATTTACGCTCGTCGACAGGCAAGAACTCGGGCGGAGGTGGAAGCGGAAGCGGTCCAGACAATTGTGCAGATGGCGCAGGGTTGTCAATATCGATTGCTTTCTCGTCCCCTTCCGAATCCGACCTTTGCTCCAGCATTATTTCGATCTCTGGTTCATCGTTGGCATCCTCTTCGTCTCGCTTGTCCTTTACGTTGGGAGTATCCTCGTCTGGCTTGCCAATCACGTTCAAGGGATCCTCACCATCGTCGGAGTTGCAATTTGAACTGGCTGTCGACGCATTGGCTTGAGCTCCTAGACTGTTTGTTCGAGCTGCCACCTCTTTCGCCTGATCAGCGACTTCTTTCCGCTTTTCCGCTGCGATCTCGTTGGAAAGTTCCGCCTCTTTCTGCTCTGCGGTCATGTCAACCGTCTCAGCAGCGCCGGCCGATTCTCTGGTTAGCCATCTCTTGCGAAAAGTTCCACCGGGATTTAGAATGATGGCAAGGTACCAGTGAAGGTTCTCGTTGATGGGGATGACAAGCATTTTCTTGCTGAAGATGTCGACCTTCCGCGTCCATTTCCGCACAGTTTCGTATGCAGGCCAACTTGGCGCCTCCGGATTAGCTTCCTTAAGACTGGGTCGGTTGCGGACGGAGAGCTTCTTGTAGAAGAAGGAATTAAAGATATGGATATCTTCCCGAGTGAACTGTTGAGGGGTTTCTTCTTTATCATCGGACAGTGCCGCCCAGTTGTATTTTAGTCCGAATTCGATAAGCGTGTCGTTCAAATATTCTGCCTCCTCTAAACGGTGGAAGTCGCCATGGGTGATGTTGACCTCGGATCGGCCATTAGAGGGCCACTCGCGCATTATCTCATCCGGATTCTTCGGTAGAGGTTTCTTCTTGATTGGTGGTTCTCGAGGTTCGGCCGCAGCAGTAGTCCGAGCACTTCTGCCTGGTTGAGTCCTCGTTGGACGCACTCCTTCTCGATCCGACGTTTCTGGTTGATCCACTTTTGATCTCCCCTTTGGAGCGGGACGGGTCGGCACCGCCGCTTTTTTCGTTTCACTGGCCGATACTTGTGGTGTAAGCGACGCCAACCTCATTTCCTCCTCAAAGGATTGAAGTTGCCCATGATATGGCCCCGACTTCAGTATTTCACTTGAGAAGGTGGCGAAAGATCGAATGGTCAGATACCGAGTGCGTTCTTTTTTTCCTTTGCAAACTTACTTGCTTAGAACAACGTAAGGTTTGAAGTCCCCGCAGCTTCGCAATAATTTCGACATCTCTATACCCTCTCCGAGCTCGACGAGCAGAATAAAGCGTGATCGACCAGATTTCACCGGTTCATTACCTATCAGAGGAAAATAGTATCGCTTAGCGAACTACCAGTCGGGGTGGACAAAATTCATAGAAGGACGGTAGTGATGCTCACTGATGCTTGCAAACTCTCGATACCAATCGGTCCTGACCTTTTGCGTAGCTTGGCAGTCGATCATCAAAGCGGTCACCGGTCCATTATTTTTCGAAGCAATCCACTAATGAGGATCACATTCCATCAGTTCATAAGTTTTGCAAAACAGGATACTGTGGCACATACCAATTTGGTGCCAGAGTCCAACGGTATGGTGAGATCATCCTTGCCGGCCGCGTTGTCTGTCCGAGCGACGTGCAGGGTCAAATGGCCCGTCTTGAACGCAAATCTGGTTTTTACCTCTTCTGGCGGCAAGGTATGATTGTC